GTGACACTGTTGTCGAGATCCAGAAACCACCCGTGCTATGCCAGGGTGAATCGCTAGTTTTTATAATATATATTAGACATAAACAACTAATGTGTAGGAAAAAAATGGTTGTCTGTAAAGTCGATTTACGAACGACAGTTTAACGTGCAGTGGCACATTTACACAGGGTCAGTAGCTGTCGTCAGTGCTGGCGCCGAAAACTGACTCTTACTATTTACAAGCAGTCAGTATTTCGTCAGTAGTCGAGTATATTTATTTTGGTGTACACACTTTCGAGAAAAATGAATTCTCGAAAACAACAAAAATCAAAGTTAACAATTTGTTGAGATGATGCAAGAACTAATTGGTAAATTAGAAGAAGAGATATCTAAACAGAAACGAATTTGGGTAAGAAAATGGATAGATGACAGAGATAAAACTGGAGGTTCTGTTCTGTTGTTAACCCAGTTGAGAATGGAAGATCCTGGGGAATACAAACTGGCTTCGAGAATGACGCCAAAAAACTTTGATGATTTGCTTATGTTGCTATCAAGCTCTATTCAGCGCCAAGACTCATTTATGAGAGATGTCTTGCCAGCCAAAGTGAAACTCGAAATTACGCTGACATTTTTGGCTTCTGAAATGTCGTTTCGGAATCTCAGTCACTTTTATCGTGTATCGATACCATCTATTTCTAATTTAATACTGGAAGTGTGTTGGGCAATATATGTGTCATTGAAAACACAGATTAAGGTAAGAAAATTATTTATTGAAAAAATACTTATAGTAGGTTACCAAAAAAAAATTACAATCACATATAAATCATAATAATCTAGACAAAAGTAGGTACTAAGCTTAATCAAAAGCATACTTAATAACATCAGTTACACTGTCACTTTTACACTCAATATTATCGTTATTAAGAGCTGTATTAGGAGCGGTACGGATGATCACCTGACTGGGATCTACATATCTTGGACTTTGAGTTGCCAATGAAAAATAACATCCCAAATAGCTGCTACTGGGGACAGCTATCTGTGTAGACTGGGTGGGATAAAATCCCAAAGAACTGTTGCTTGAGGCAGTCATCTGAGTTACATAGGGGGGATAAAATCCTAAGGAACTACTGCTGCCGCTGTTTGTCGTATAAGCTGGACTAGGAGTGTAACGGTTCTGCTGAGGCTGTGTATGAGTAGTAGAACTCAAAGAAAAGTGAGTATTTGGGTAAATATTCACGTTTCTTCTTCTCTTTTCTATATCTGCCAGTCTACATTTGGATAATGTTGTTTGTATTTCTTCCTGTGCAATTATACATTGTTCCTTAGAGAGTTTTTTTAACTGAGAAGCCACATGCTTTCCGTAAATATCACAATCACTTTCTTCGACTGATGGCATATTGATACTATGTGATACATTTTTTATGTCTTTTATCATTTCGGATATCTGAGACAGTTTGCTACGTTTTGACCTCGGTCTTGTCGGTTGATTGGAGTTTTGTGTGATCGGCCCGGATTCTGAAGCTGGTGAATTCGCAGTGTTATTATTTTCTGCGTTAAATCTTATCTCATCTTCACCATCATCACCAGAAACAGGAATATTGTTGGGAGTGTCCGAATTATCCTGAAAATAAGTAATTAGTTATAATAACGAGTACCTAAATCGATTTAAAAATTTGAAATACTCTACTAGGCGTAAATTATTAGTATAACTACCGTAACGTGTAGCTAATTACATACATACAAACCTTATACCTATAATCCTACCTACATCATACATACGATCCGTATGGCGCAGCGGTAGTGAGGCTGCCTTACATTCTTAGGCTCCCGGGTTCGAATCCCGGTAGGAGAAAATGTTTGTGTGATGAGCACAGGACATTTGTTTCCGAGTCATGGTTGTTTATATATATAATAAGTATGTATTTACAAACAAAAAGTATCTATGTAGTATGTCAACTAACTGGTGTCCACGACACAAGCCTCGTTGCTTAGTGTGGCATTAGGTGGCGCTGTGTGTAATAATGTCCAGCAATATTTATTTATTTATACCTACCTACACACACATCTATACTAATAATAATAATAATATATTTGATTGTTTATTGTTTGTTTAATACATTTTTATTATTTTTCCTTTGCAGATTCCAGATGGAGAGGATGAATGGAAAATTATCGAAGACGGATTTAATACCAGATGGAACTTCCCCTCGTGTTACGAAGCAATTGATGGAAAGCATGTCATTATTAAAGCGCCACCAAATAGTGGAAGTGAATTTTACAACTATAAAGAAACCAATAGTATTGATTTGATGGCTATTGCAGACCATAACTACTGTTTTTCATACATCATGTTGGTGCGAATAGCAGCGCTTCTGATGGGGGAGTCTTTAAAAAATCGTCAATTTATCGCCGTTTAGAAGATGGATTCCTGCCAGTGAATGGAATCATTGTTGGTGATGCAGCTTTTCCGTTAAATACTTATATACTCAAACCGTATCCAGGTTCACAACTGTCTACTATTGAAAAAATCTTCAATTACAGACTATCTCGTGGAAGGCGTACAGTGGAAAATGCTTTTGGGATTTTAGTTTCTAGTTTCTTCATAATTGGTTGCAAAAAAAAAACTGACTCCTACATAACACCTACTTGTGTAGACAGAGAAGACTCTGAAGGACAAATAATACCAGGTACTTGGAGATCGGAAATAACTCCATTAATAAGTATAACTGATCAACTTAGAGGTAACCATTCCGTAAATGCCAAAAAGAGAAGAGATTTATTGAAAAATTACTTTATGACGAATGGAAGTGTACCGTGGCAGTTTAACAGAATTTCTTAAATTATATTTGTTTTATTTAAATACTAAAAATAAATAAATATTGTGGGTACTTACTTTTGTTTTCCTTTGTAGATACATTTCTTATAAAAGCGTCCATTTCCTCGAACCATTTCACCTTTGGAGTATAGACGTTTCCACCAGCGCCTGATTTTGAGGAGTTTTTTATTTTAGCCAGTTCCAAGTAATAAGTTGCCCTCAAGCTTTTAATTTTGTTTTTGACCTCGGTAGGGCCAAACCCTTCTAAATTTATTTCTCGTGCAATATTCTGTAATGCTGTTGCACGCATTTCTTTATTTCTGTAGTTTCCTGATTTGTTATCCCACAGGCATTCATTATCGCGGTATAGTTCAATAAGCTTTAAGTTTTCCCTCTACGAAGCGTGGTCCCCGTACAATTGAGCGGCAGCGACTGACTTCAGCATTTACACGGCGTCATTTGCGCTGGCGCGGGTGGCGGGAGGATCGGACTGACGCCAAAAATATGAAGAAAAATAAGAATATTAAAGTCAATACTGACGCGACAGTACTGTACTGACTTGAAATCAATTTACACGATGGCAGTGCCAGGTCAGCACTGACTCGGCAGTGGACTGACGGCAGTTACTGACTCAATGTAAAATTGCCTTTACAACGTCATATTAAAACATTGATGAAATGATTGCATACTTTTAAAAACGCTCTCGCTCCGATCGTAACGTACAGTGAGCGTAATGATACAATAAGTCATGCTTTTTCGTGCGTGCAGCCAGCGTTCATCGATTTATTAGACGTGGTCATGTGAAAAACCAAAAAAATATCATTGATTTATTAACAACATAAATAATCATTATTACTAAAATAACTATTATCTAACATTCTAGTAAAATTATTCTTGTGTATTAATATAATGCAATGATACATTTTTCGAATAACCTTAACATTTTGTTAGTAACAATATGTACATAATTAATATAATATAACTTGAGGAATATATTCATAATAACTTATGCTGACGAATCTCGCTATTATCCCATCTTTAACTGAAGATAGTATGTAGACTTGATTGTTTTTACTTGACGTTTAAAATATCCTCGGTGTTTTGACAGGGACTTAAGGCAGGGTCGGCGGTTTGCTACACCTATTTTATCATTTAAATATTTATTGTGTTTGAAGTGTTTAAATAGGTTTTAGAAGTGGATTTTGATATGTAGAACTATTAATGAAAACATTACAACAAGTGCTTCGAGGGTGATATTTTCTCTTCCACTTAAGGCCCTGGAGATACTACCATCATCAACTATTCGCTAGTTTAAGCTGTTGTCGAAATCTCCCGAGTACCTACTTCGGAATGTGTCGTGTCAGTATAATTATGAACGGTTTATGAACAAAATACGAATAGACAACGAAGACCCAATAGACAGTATGACTTAAGACTTTTGTCGTTGTAAAGGACGAAATGTACAAATAAGAAATATAGGGTATGTTCCGAAATACAACGCAGTGTACTGTCCAATGCAAATGACGTAACATTTGACACTTTATTGTACCAGCGTGCCACCGCCATATTGTGTCGGATATCCGGCCATAATAAAACAATTTTTAATTGTGTGTTTGCCGAATGAAGCATGCCAGAATTTGTTTTTATTTATTCAAATACAAAAAATTATAGAATAATTGATGGTATATCCATTAGGAGGATATAATGATTTTTGGAGCACAAAATGACAAAATAATCGCCAACACTTTTCCAAATGGCGCAAAAGTATGACGTCATATACTGTCCAATGTTATGGAACGAATCACCAGTATGGCGTCGATTCGTGACGTCATTTGCATTGGACAGTCCACTGCGTTGTATTTCGGAACATACCCATAGTATAGTCCACAGAGTACCTTTGTATAAACTGAAAGTATAGTCTATGTCTCTGAGTGACTTGTCGTCCCCCTTTAGGGGTATATGTGTTCTGTGCTTGTCGTAGTGACGCTTTTAATCTAAAACAACAATGATTTTGATTTGTTATACGTAATAGACTTCAATATTCATTTATCGATTAATAGAAATAAGATTTCTTTTTTAAGGTCTACTCTAAGAGGATAATAATCATGGTCCATAGTTATGGTTCATAACCAACAACACCTCGTGATATAGTGTTACTACAGGTCAGCAGTATTTATCTCATATTGGTCTGATTTGCAGTTTTAATTATGGCATCTACTGTAGCAAAAGCAGTAGGTGTAGTAAAAGATGTTTCTCCAATGTATTATAGAATTTTGTCGAAATTTCCACAAAATTTAAGTTTTTGCTTCGCTTATGGATCGGCTGTCAAGCCTCAAATTGGTAATCAGAAAAAACATAATATGATAGATCTTATCTATTGCGTGGAGAATTCATACAGATGGCATGGTGCTAATATCGAAATGAATCCATCCCATTATTCTGCACTTCGCTATCTTGGCAAAGGTTTTGTTGCAAGATTTCAGGAAAATTGGGGAGCTAAAGTTTACTTCAACACATTAGTGGAAATGAAGGAAGAAAATGTGACTATCAAGTATGGTGTTGTGTCCCAAAAGGACTTGATTGCAGATTTACTTGATTGGAATGATCTTTACTTGGCTGGACGACTACACAAGCCAGTGGAAATAATAAAGCAGACCAATAGTTCTCAACTACAAAATGCTCTACAGTCCAATTTGAGATCTGCCGTTCATACAGCTTTACTGATATTGCCTGAAACTTTTTCAGAATATGATTTCTACTTTGCCATTTCTAATTTAAGTTATGCTGGTGACTTTAGAATGACATTTGGTGAAAATAAAAATAAAGTGAGAAATATAGTTCAACCACAATTATTAAATTTCCGTGAACTTTTTAGACCAATATTACAACAATTTCATGTCTATGTAGATTTTGCCACTGGTGATACTCAATGCCACCAAGATATTAACCCAGAAACTAAGTTACATCATCTCATGCAGTTACCAATGGTGCCACAGCAGAAAATTGTAAAATTTTGGAATCACGGTGGTCTTCAGCAAGATATGGAAGATGTACTTAGAGCTGTTGCTTATGATATAGATTGTGCTGTTATTTTAAGGCAAATTCTTAAAGATATAGTATGGCAATCTAGTGTGAGGCAATCCTTAAAGGGTATACTGACTGCAGGATTTTTAAAATCAATCCGCTATAGTGCTAAGAAAATAGCCAAAATGTTTTAATTATACAATTAAGTTATTTTATGATACACTGTACAAAATGTTCAGTAATAAAACTAGTTTGTAAATTTAAAATAATTTCTTATTTTATATCCTAAATAATTCATATCCTTTTCTGCTTTTAGGTACTATAATGCTGTCTGATGAATCAAGTAGTGACTCTGAAACAGGTAGATTTAAATGTAGAACAAAGACTCAAGATGAGACAGCACAAAATTCCAAATCAAAGGACAATTCTTTTCTCTCATCAAAAAATGATTTGAGAAGTTCAGGAAGAAATAGGAGATATGAAAGTGAAAGATATCAAAGGGATTTTGACAGGAAAAGAGACAATCGGGGTGGATTAGAACATCATGTAAGAGACAGACACAGATATTCTAGACACTCACCTGTAAGAAGGAGACATTCTCGTGAGAGAAGTCGACATAGAGAATTTGAAAGACGAAGGTATGAACGGGATTCTAGAGAAAGATCTAAAATAAGTGATCACAGAGGTGGCAGTGTGGATAGAATATCTAGATCCGAGTCTAAAACACACAGGTCTCCAAAACATAACAAAATCATAAAAGAAATTATAAAAAGTAATATAACAGATAAAAAGCCTGACAAAGTTGAAATAAAACAAAGAGAAAAAAGATCCTCATCTGCAGATAATAAGACAAAAAGGTCTGAGGTGTTTAAACCAGCTACCGTTGATTTGTCACATCGAAAAAGTAAAAGTCCTATTGTTGAAGTTCATGTGGAAAGTGATGTTTCTGAAGAAGTTAAACCTGGTTCATATTATAGTATGATCCCAGCTATTGTAAAAGAAAAGTCAGAAGAATCAAGTGAAATTGATTCTTCAGATGATGAAAGACTCAGAGCAAAACTTTTAAACTTAGAAAAAGAAATCAGTAAGACCAAAAAGAAAAAGCATAAAAAGAAACACAGAAAAAAAAGGAGCAAATCTAGTAAAGAGAAAACTCAGGACTCAACAGTTTCAGTGGAAGTCAGCAGTACAACTGATATTCAGGATAAAATAAGTAATCAAAATGTAAATGTGACTGAAACTACAGAGGTAACATCAACACAGAAATGCTTTCAAAAAGAGAGCAGTGAAGAAGGTGAGATTTTAAGTGATGATGAAGCAGAAAGTTGTCTTAACATTGATCCCAGTGATTTACGGCATAAATTAAAAAAATCTACAGCACAAGCTAAAAAATCAGATGTTTGCGGACCTGCTCTACCTCCACATTTAGAGAAAAGATATGAAAAAAGTGCCTCTCCTGATACAGAAGGCCCAGCATTACCTCCTTATCTAAAAAGAAAACCTCGGCATCTAGGTACTTCTATTTTTAATAAAATAATAACAAACTCTTAAAAATTAAATTGTCACTTGTCCTCATATTGTTTATTTTCTTAGGTCCATCAATTCCACAGGATATGCGTAAGGTGCTTGAAGAAAGGAGTCAAGAAGTAATAAAATTTGAAAGTTCTGAAGAAGATATTTGTATTGTTGGTCCATTACCAGTAGGTTCAGAAGAAAAATGGACCCATGCTCACAAGCAGCTTGAAGAAAGAGCACTAGACATAAAAATAAAGAAGATGGATGGTCATTCACTAAGTCAAACAGATATAAAATCGAGAGAAAAGTGGATGTTGGAATTACCAGAAGGGAAAGCAAAATATTTAGGACTGGAAGCCCGCTCTTTTAGAGCCAAAGAAGGTCCAGACATGACAGATAGGTAATTTTTTTTGATAGTGTATACAAAATTTTACCACCCACTACATTGTTCTATACAAGAACTATTTTGACACAAAAATATTCTTTGTATAAATGAATGCCTAATTTAATCTAAAATTTAGAAACCAACATTTGATATATCTATCTACTGAAATATTATGTTTCTTTAAACAACTAATGTGATATACTGATTGAATAATATCATTTTCTCTAATAAATAGTATACAGAGTTAAAGTGATAGTACCTGGATGACCGAGCTTTGCTTGTTTTTTTTTTAAATTACATTTAGATACAAATTACATACTGATGAATAATATTTTTTGATCTTATTGACATAATAGAAAAAACTGAACTGGTTATTTGAATAAAAAATCATGAGTGCAATTAGTTTAATTAAAATTTTATATTTTCAAAAACTACTAAATAAAGGGCTCAAAATAATAGATTTTCTCACAAAAGAAGGGAACTTGAATAAAAAGGAAAAAAAGTCGGACTGAAGACAGGACGCAAACCAAGGCATTACGATTTCGCGACCGCTCGATATCCACTTGAGCTATTATGATCATTAACACAATGTCAAAATTTACCTTCTTATATTGTAGCAGTTTTTCATTGCCTGAAAACACAGACAAAAAGACATTTTCTAAAAATAAATCCTAGCTAGATCGATTTCTTGATAGAATTTTTGCATTTGTTAAAATGCAATGGAGCCAGGAAAAAATAGTTTTTGTTCAATCCGCCAACTTCGTTTCTCATTTTAAACAAGTTTATTGTTCAATTACACTTTTTTATTTCTTTAAGTAGTATTATCGGATTAAAAAGTACGTAGCACACACTACCTCTAATTTATGACTACAACTGCTGATGAAGATGATGATGAAGATTCAGGTTTTATGAGCATTTGCTCACAACAAACAAATTCTCGATGCGAATATTCTTATTGATCAAATGCTCATGTCAGTCGCCACCTTAAGTAATATTTGTCACAGTTGCCAAACGCAATTATTTATGTCCTAGTTGTTATTAGGAAGATGCTACTACCCATTGGCAGATTTGTTTTTCTCTGTCACCTCTGCCATATTTGCCTTGCTTGGCAGATTGGTCAGCACAGCATCTTAATTTACATTAAGTAGTGGTGCTAAGAAGCCATCTGCTTTTGGGATACTATATAGAATAAAATTAAATGTGAACCTAAGCATACCAGCAAACTTTAAGCCTTCAACATAATATGGTAAAGTAACTGCCTAGATCAGACTAAAATTAATAATCAAAAGCCTAAGGTACCCCAGGTTATTGACATTGCAACTTTAAGCATTTCTGTCCTTCGCTTCGTCCTGACCATGGGTGTTCTAAAGCACTCAGAACTTTGAGAATTTAAAATAAACGCGACAAAATTCGTAAAAATAGTTCTTTTTCAATGTATAGTATTTGCATGAATATAAAAAAAATTATGTTTTGTAAAGGTCAAGTTGGACTGATACGCCAGAAGAAAAAGCTCGTAAAGCAGCTGGTCTAGTAAAGGAAGAAGATGCCGATGCTGCTTTACATAGAGAAGCCAAGAATAAGCAGATTGCAACAAGAGATGAAGAGCAAGAGAAGGCTATTCGGTCAGTAAGCATATGTACATATCATTTAAATAGTTTGTTGTTTGCTGATAGCTTAATAATAAATAAATTTCAACTCAGTTTCGAGAATTAATATTAATAGCATGCTTTAGTTTTGTGATCAAGTGGTGCAGTGATGTTTATTACTGCACATGCAATTTTAACAATGATTAAAATAATTTTTTTGTCGTTAGTAAACATTAGAGCATTAAATTATCATTAGATGCCGACAGCTTTTAGGATTATACAGTACAAGTCCAATCTTAGAGTACTAATACCTCTGGTGCTGCAAAATGCCACCTAGCAGCTTGGACTCAGTAAAGAGACATGCTAAGAAGCTGGTGATCTCAATTTTGTTAAACACAATCATGCCAGTCTTGATCATAGCACAATATAGACATAGTTGACCTGTCTGTATTATATAGGATACTGTGTGCAATTGCAGAGTGCTCAGGATTTAGATGATATAATTGTTCCCTTCACCTACAACCAATGACATGACAGATGCTCGGCGGGTCTCGGGGGCGGGAACCAAACGGTTTGCTTAGACGTTCGTGATGCGTACATCAAATAAATGGAATAGGCAGGCGTCCACCTTTTCTTCCGATTACAATAACTTCCATATGAGAGGTGACCTGTGCTAAGAGTAGGACATATACAGTGTTATTTTGCAATAGCCGGCCAAATTTTCAGAGAAGGTTCAGAATCCATACTAATATTAATATTATAAATGCGAAAGTGTGTTTGTTTGTTTGTTTGTCCTTCTTCACGTCGCAACAGATTATCGGCATGGCATGATTTTTGTATGGGAATAGTTCGGTGGCTGTAGAGTGACATAGGTTACTTTTTTCCGCGGAAAAACATCTCATTCCCGTGGGAAAATAGAATATGTTGCAAGTTTGTCCTTCTTTCACGTCGCAACAGAGCGTCGGCATGGCATGAATTTTGGTACGGGGATAGTTCGGTGGCTGTAGAGTGACATAGGCTACTTTTTCCCGCGGAAAAACATCTCATTCCCGTGGGAAAATAGAATATTTCCCACGGGAACGGGAATGAGATATTTTTTAGCGGAAAAACATATCATTCCCGTGGGAAAACTCGAATATGTTGCAAAATTAGAATATCAGCTAGGTGGCGCCACCGTGATTCTACAAGACGGACAACGGTACGATGGACGAACACAGAAGGTCAGGACATCTGGATTATTATGTCTTTTCTTACCAAAATTAATGATAAAAAATGTATGGATCTGTAACGGGTTTTTCCACGCAGGACCGGGAAGAGAGCGATAAAAAACATAGCCAAATTCACTAGCGTGATTTTCTTCAGAACGTTTTGGATTGCATTGTAATTCACAGAATAGGCGATAACCTCGCAGACGATATTAAGTAATCCGTTGATGCTCTGCCTACCCCGCAAGTGTTACAGGCGTGATTATAAGTATGGATCAGAAATACTATCACCATCTGTAACGCTTTCACCCTTAACTATTACTTAACTGTGGTAGAAATAGTTCTTAGTAAACCTTATTAATAAGTCTTAGTAATATTTATTGAACGGAAAATGAATACAGTTTCTTATATGTGGTTATGAATGAATCGGTATTACAATAAGAAAAATTGTGCAAAATTATAAGAATAATATTTTTGAGAGTTCTTATTAACTAACGTATACATAGTTTAAATTGATTCCGCTAGATGTCGTTACTAGCTTTTTAAAACGCGGCAACGAAATGTTTCCTGACATGTACTTAACTCCCGCTGCGCCGTTGAGCCGCGCGTCAACTTATAGTGCATACGGTACCTATACGCTTAAATTGTTTCTATTTCGTAGCTTATTCGACTACCTGCTTTCGATTTCGGTTGTTTGTTATTTGCTTTGTGATTTGGTTAAGGTTGAATGGATTTATATTAGCTTTCATTTTCAGATTTGTGTATTTTCTTGGATCGGTTTTGTTGATTTGGTTGGTATTCCTTTATACATATTTAGACTCTGGCTTTGATTTTGGATTTTGTTTATTTAGAATAGTGAATTGGTTTTCGTTGTTTTAGGTTGTTTAACAATATTTCAAAGGAATATTAATAGTATAGATAGTGTATACGGTACCTATACACTTACTTCTTTCTTCGTTGGTTATATTTATATTGACTATTGCTTTCGATTTCGGTTTTCTGCGATTTGGTTTAAGTTGATTCGATTTTTTTTGGCTATCGTTTTCGGATTCGTGTTGTGTCTTGAATTGGTTTTGTTGTTTTGATTTTAAAAAATATTTAAAAGGAATATTTATTCCTTTTAGATATTTTGGATTTGCTTTTAAAAAAAATATTTAAAAGGAAATTTAATTCCTTTTAGGTATTTTAACGTTTTTTATAAATAGGTTTTTGTTACTTCATAATGCCTCGCAAACGTAAGTCCAGCCTTTCAAGAGTATCTTCTCAAAGACAAGCGAAAAGATTAGCTCGATCGCTAGAATCTTTAGAAGATGCTGAACTGAGAAAGCAAGAACAAGCAGAGCGTCAGGCTGCTTTTAGAGCATCTGAGACACCTTCTCAACGTCAGCAAAGGCGTCTTGAACAGACAGAGCGTCAGGCTGCTTTAAGAGCTTCCGAAACACCTTCTCAAAGTCAGCGAAGGCGTCTTGAACAGGCAGAGCGTCAAGCTACTTTAAGAGCTACTGAAACACCTGCTAAAAGTCAGCAAAGGCGTCTTGAACGGGCAGAGCGTCAAGCTACTTTAAGAGCTACTGAAACACCTGATCAAAGTCAACAAAGGCGTCTTGAACAGGCAGAGCGTCAATCTACTTTAAGAGCTACTGAAACACCTGCTCAAAGTCAGCAAAGGCTATTCGAACAAGCGGAACGTCAGGCCGCCTTAAGAGTCGCGGAAACACCTGATGAAACTCAACACAGACTCATTGAGCAAGCTGAACGAATCAAGCAAGCTGAAACAATCTACTATAAGGGCATCTGAAACACCGGAACAGACACAGGTGCGAAGAGATGCAAATGCACAGCTGCAAGCTGAACATCGACAAAATTTTCAAAGAAACAATTGGTCGGTTTTTAATGACGCAGTATTCAATTATGATCCGTTGATTGATTATAAAAATCACAGGTTAGTTGTTATCGGACTGATGGACAAGGCGTGTCGATTTTGCAGCGCTTTAAAATGGAAAGATGAGACCGCAGGCATGTGCTGTTCCAATGGCAAAGTGTCTCTTCCGTTACTTGGGGAACCAGAAGAACCTTTGAAAACTCTCTTTTTATATGATGCTAATGAGTCACGGCGCTTTTTAAACAGGATCCGGAAATATAACTCATGCTTTCAAATGACGTCCTTCGGAGTTGACCGGGAAATAATAATGCCGGGATTTTCGCCTATATTTACGGTGCAAGGGCAAATTTATCATAGAATAGGTTCACTTTTTCCAGCTGAAAACGAACAGCATAAATTTTTACAAGTATATTTTATGGGTGACGAAGAAATTGAGTGTTCAAAATTCAAAGATTCTTGCATGAACGTAACATTTTAGTCAAAACATTTAAAACTGCTTTAGAAAACCTACCTGAAGAGGATTATAAAGTCGTCATTCACGCAGATCGGACCCCTCGAGGAGAGCATGAAAGGCGCTACAATGCACCTTTGATAAACGAAATAGCAGCCTACCCATTGATTTATTGCAAAGGACAAGAGGGTTATCATTTTCAAATTCCACTCATTAACCCGGTCACAAAGGAGCCTACTCCGAACAAAAAAGTATCATGTATGGATTTTTATGCGTATCATATGATGTTGCGAGAAAATGATTTTAACCTCTTAGCCCGGTGTAGACAATTATTTCATCAATTTTTGGTAGACATGTATGTGAAGGTAGAAAGTGAACGTCTCCGTTATATATCTTTAAATCAAAAAAAGCTGCGCGTTGAGAATTATATACATTTACAAGATGCAGTTTCTAGCGACGCCAATGTAAATGCCCCAGAGATTTAGGTAAAATGGTAATTCTGCCCTCATCATTCGTTAACAGTCCCCGCTACCTACATAAGTACACACAAGACGCATTCGCCTATGTACGAACTTACGGAAGACCTGATCTTTTTGTTACTTTTACTTGCAATCCCACATGGAAAGAAATAACCGAGGAGCTAATGCCGGGCCAAAAAAGTACTGACAGACAGTGTGTAGAGTATTTAGATTAAAAGTACAAAAATTAATGTAATTAACAAAGGGAAAATTTTCGGAGAGGTGCAGTGCTTCATGTATTCAATTGAATGGCAAAAAAGAGGATTACCGCATGGCCACATTCTAATATGGCTTAAAGAGAAGTTGCGGCCCAGCCAAATAGACGACATAATAAGCGCCGAGATTCCGCATCCTGAGCAAGATAAAGAATTGTATGATACCATCGTCCGAAATATGATTCACGGTCCATGTGGAGCACGAAATTCAATATCGCCATGTATGAAAGAAGGAAAATGTACAAAGAAATTCCCTAAACAGCTATTAAAAGAAACAGTGCACAATGACAATGGCTACCCTTTATACAGACGCAGAGCTCCCGAAGATGGTGGCAGGAAAGTTACAATCAAATCTCGCTCTAGAGCGTTCTAAACCTTAGATTACAGCTGGATTGTCCCGTATTCGCCCATTCTATGTAAAATGTTTAATGCCCACATTAATGTAGAAGCATGTAGCTCTGTCCGCGCAATTATGTATATCTCTAAGTACATAAATAAAGGAAGCGACCAAGCAATATTTAATCTCAGGAGTGAAGGTGAGGCAAATCCCGTTAATGAAGTACAGACCTTTCAAGCAGGGCGTTATGTCAGTAGTAACGAGGCAGCGCGGCGTCTTCTTGGGTTCCCTTTACACGAAAGGCACCCAACAGTTACTCACCTTGCTGTGCACTTCGTAAATGGAGAGCGTGTATATTTCACCGAAAGAAATTTCCAAGAAAGAATTGCATCACCGCCAAAAACTACATTAACAGCCTTCTTTCAACTTTGTCAAACCGACTCCTTTGCAAAAACGTTGTTATATTCTGAAGTCCCCCGCTATTATACTTGGAACACATCCAGAAAGGAGTGGAAACGCCGTATTCAAGGCGCGCCTGTTGCAAATTGGCCCGGTGTAAAGTCATCAGATGCCCTTGGTCCTGTATATACCGTCCACAGTGGCGAAGCTAGAGCTCCAAGCTAGGGCAAGCCCAAGATATAAATTGATAAAAATATAGATTGTTGTTTTTAGCAGTTTTATAAAAATACACCAATATTGATCTGTCTCCACGCTTCAGTTTCATATTCAGTGCTGTCAAGGACGTGTTTAACAAAGCACACAGAATGCATACCACTGCTAGATAGATTGTATTACATATCAGCAATTGCACAGCTTCGGTGGCTTTGAAGAAAGCAGTTTGGGTTTGTTTAAGCGAAAGAAAAAAAAATATTTACATCCAATACAATGCATGAACAAAAGTAAAACACGAACAAAGTACAAACAAACTATGTACAAAATTAAAAAAAAATATTTACATTCTAATGGATAAGAGATAAGATAAGTGTAATCGTCTTGCTTTCTTATGGATAGATTTAATTACGTCCACGTAAAATGTTGGTGAACGTTTTAATTGTACCAATAACTGTTTTTAATTGCGATAATCGATAAGTCTGAAATACACTCTTAACCTTGTGTATTATCTCAACAAAGTTTAAAGATTTCCTCTCCGATTATCACTTTAACACACTTCAATTCATCACAAGGAACACTATTATCCTCCATTTTCATTAAAAATCTTAAATTAAAAAAAAAGCATAAATTTTGAACTCGTAATATTAAATCGCTTAAGATAAGCACACAGAGTAAATAAACATTGAAACGTGAAATGAACTTGCAAACGTATTGCCCGTGCGCCTGCGCTTTTAACAAATTTATTCCCAAAAGCCTGGCTTTAAATCTCTATCTAATTGCTATATATACAATCGTAGTTATATTTCATTATAGAATATTTTGCCATAGGTTAGAAAGAGAGCGATCGTCTTCTCGAAAGCCCCGTAAAAAGCCCACGCGAGCGAGGGAGACAACTATTAGCTCTATTAAAACTCATTTTTTATGACAGCAGCAGTATCGCTAAGGCAATACGAGGTCATCGGTCGACATGTGTCGAACAGTGGAGTGCGCGGGAAATTTGAAATAGCTTGAAACATTTTACGAGTGATTTTATTAGTTGATATTATTGATTGATTCAGGTTTAATAAGGCAAGCCCGGCTTTTCGGCTTTAATGGACCTCTGCCACTGACCGTCCATGTAACTAATTTTGAATGTTTCTTTTCTTTACGATTGCTGCTGCATGTTCCATGTTCGGGGCCCTACAGGATATAAAGACCTTAAAACTGTCAACGGTCAGGAATGCGCAACTTATAGAGAAGCATGTGAAGCTCTGCATCTTTTAGAAAACGATAATCACTGGGATGAAACCATGGAGGAAGCTGTGCAGTGCCAGTCACCTGCCAAAATTAGGGATCTTTATGCAACTCTCATATCATCTTGCGGGCTATCTAATGCACATGAATTGTGGGACAAATATAAAGAGTATATGGCGGAAGATATTTTGCGAAGGTTACAGCAGACACACGCGAACATGACATACAATGAACACATTTATAATGAAGCACTTGGAAAAATTGAAGATAAAGTAATGGCAATGGTAGGCAAAAAATTAAGCGACTTTGGAATGATAAGCAATCAGCGAACAACCGAAAATGAACTAAGTGATGAAATTATACGTGAAACAAACTACGATATACCAGCTTTGCAGCAGCAAGTAGCGGAATTTGTACCCCGCTTGCTTCCCGAACAAAAACGAGTTTTTGACAAAGTATTAGGACAAATTGAATCTGGAAATGGTGCACTTTTCTTTTTAGATGCCCCTGGAGGAACTGAGAAGATATTTTTGTTAAATTTATTATTAGCGCAAGTACGGAAAGATAAAAACATTGCTGTGGCCGTAGCTTCCTCCGGTATAGCCGCCACGTTGCTAAGCGCGGGCCGCACTGCACATTCTGTTTTAAAACTCCCTCTAAATCTAGCCCAGGAAGAATCGCCGATCTGCAACTTTAGCAAAAATAGTGCACGAGGTATAATGCTACGACAATGCAAACTTTGAGTGTGGGACGAAAGTACAATGTCGCATAAAAAAGCTGTCACTAAATCGAACGCTCCAGGATTTGCGCAGCAATACCGATGTAATGGGAGGAATGGTGGTTTTACTGGTTTTCAATTTCTTTCTAAGTTTTGCTCGGTGTGTCAATGCTGGAACTATGCTGACACACTATTAAAAATTGGCGATGGGCGGTTGGAAACGGATGCTGAGGGCTGCGTTAAATTGACGAGAGATTTTTATAATTTAGTACAGAGTGATTCCGAATTAATTGCGAGCGTTTATTCAGATTTAACGAACAACATGCATGAAGACAAATGGTTATGTGAAAGGGCGGTTCTTGCACCAAAAAATGAGAGCGTTAACAAAATAAATTCAGATATATTAAGCGAAGTAGCAGGAGAAATAACAGAGTATTTGTCAGTAGACACAGTTATGGACACAGAACAGAGTACTTCATATCCCGTAGAGTTTCTAAATCCTCTAGACTTGTCAGATGTGCCCTCACATAAGCTTCAATTAAAATTAGGCGTCCCAGTCATGCTAATGCGAAATTTAGTTGCTCCTCCGTTATGTAACGGGACAAGGCTGCGTGTGACACATCTTGGACGGAACATAATCGGTGCTACAATTTTGACAGGCGTAGGAAAAGGTGATAATGTTATCATACCACTGATCCCTATAATTCCCACAGATCTTCCTTTTCAATTCAAAAGGTTGCAGTTCCCTATTAAGCTCAGTTTTGCAATGACAATTAATAAAGCGCAAGGGCAAACGTTACAGTTAGCGGGGGTCAACTTTGAAAAACCGTGCTTCTCTCATGGTCAGCTGTATGTAGCATGTTCGCATGTGACAAATGCCCAGAATCTCCACATTCTTTCCCCGAATGGAAAAACATATAACATTGTGTAACAGTAGCGTCTTAAAATAGTGTTCAGTTAGTTTTTTTCCAAAATTCCCACAATCAATTAATCAGAATTCCCACAGATCTTCCCTTTCAATTCAAAATTTCCTATTTACCTCTGACGGACCTATTAAGCTCAGTTTCCTTTCAACTCAAAAGGCTGCATCTCTGACGGATCTTTTATTTGGTTCAGTTTCCTTTCAATTCAGAAAACTGCATCTCTGACGAATCAATTTAGCTCAGTTTCTTTTCAAAATTCTGCATCAGTCATGTTTCAAAACATTTAAATAGGCTGACGAATCAATTTTATTGAGTTTCCTTTTAATGGCTGCATCTCTGACAAATCTATAAAACTCAGTTTTCTTTCAATTCAAAAAGCAATGGATAGTTCATTTCCCAGTGACCATGCGGGCGAAGCCGCGGGTAACAGCTAGTAAGTAATATAGGCAAATGGTGAAGAAAAATCTCAAATATTCTGCCCTTTTTATGATTTAAATACAAAATGTGTGGTAATGCATTATTTTCACTGATTTTACTGCGCACGCACATATTCGTAAGGGTCGATCGGTAGGCAAAAACGTTGTTGCCCATAAATCACATTCAATTTAGGATAATTTCAAATAAAAGTAGAAGCCTTATTTACTCGTATTTTCAAAAACTGCAATAACGGTATATCATTGTTTATATATTTTAGTTTAGCTATTCTTTGAAAAATAACACTGTATAGGTTGTAACTTTATTTTTAGAAGTGGTGGTTTTTTGTAGAAATAGGCGGAATATTTCTACTTTAAGAACGAAAAGCATTTCTTTTAAATAAGTTTTAAAGTCATAGATATATGTATACAGTTTGCATGTATGTTGCAGAAAACACAAGAAAAAGCACAAACGAGATGAAAGTCTACTAGAGATGCACCAAAAGAAATTGAAAAAGAAGAAAAAGGTATGAAACGAAATTTTATTTAATATGATACAAACATCACTTGTATATAAATACATTGAGGTATTACTACTACGTACAAATAGAGAAGACAACGCCTTGCATGATTTTGCGCCACGCTTTGCGGTACACTGTACCGCAACTATTTAGTGAGTTGGGCGTTGGACGCCCGCACAGACGAGTCGCGTTCGCTTCGCTTAATACATACATAATAGAACGGGGGGAGTGAGCGGAGCCTGTGTAGCCACTAACATGTCAATTCACACCTATGAATGTCAACAATCAATCGTTTCCAATTTTCGTGTCAAGCGTCGCTGCATGCAAATTATTTAAAAAATTGCAAATTGTGCAGTATTTATGTGTCGAAAGAATAGTGGGAAATGGAATTTAAATAAAGGAGACATATACTACAACCAGTAAGTCGAAACCATATTTTGTGAATATTAGAAACAAAAATAAAGAAATATTTATGTGTCGAAAACATTAATCAAAAATCTAAAATGTGTTTGTAGTAGTGATAACTGATAATACGACGTAATTGCTTGTATGTGTGCTCCCGGCGATGCCGATCCTCGTACAAAATAAGGTTGACAGCCATTCTATTGTGTAATTCATTGTTTTATATGTTCCGTAAGTACATATAAATAAAGAGCACAATCGCGTTTACAAAACAAATTGAGAGGTGTCAAGGGACACCCGGATGGAACGAAGTTCCTTTGCACACACGCACGCACGCACACACGCACGCACGCACGCACGCACGCACACACACACACACACACACACACACACACACACACACACACACACAACACACGCTGCGCGCACACACACACACACACACACACACACTAAATATGAAAAGTGTTAAATAAAAGTTTACAAAGGTAAATATCATAGTAAAGTATTCATCTAGATGTAAATTAGTTCAAACAATGATAATTAGTAAATAATCAACTTACCGATGAAATGTTACGCCTTTATTTTATATTAGTTAAATTGCACGTCCTTGATGAGTTTTTACAACTGATTATGCTGCAGTTCACCATTATAATAACATAAATTCACATACGACGTTCCCCGCGCAACTAAATCACAAAATGGTGAATGATGTTCGTTAACACATCATAGCGGCGACAAGGTCAAGCGTCTACGCGACTTCTATTATCTTATTATTACGATTTCTGTGATGGTAACCGTGTAGTGGCGACCAACACCCCATATCATCTCGGGGATGTAGTAAGAGGCAACAGAAGGAAATAAACTAAGATTAGGACGGCAAAAATATCCTAATAACAACAACTGAAAAATAAAAAACTGCGGTTGTCAACCCGCCACCCAAGCGTGGCGACTTACGAGGCCATCTATGGAGACACATTTGTTCCGCAGTCGACTTAGATGGACTCCGACTACTGAATGAAGGAATTAAATGTTATTGTTGGGAATTAAGACGCAAAAACTTCTTATTGAAGTTCTGCTATTACTATATACATTCTGTCGTAATGTACTTTAATATTTTATGTTGGTGTACTTGGTGTGCAGCTTTTTACCTTTCTCCAATATATACAATTTATAATCGAATATCTGTTTAGTTATATGTGTGGTTGGTAGAGTCATGCTGCAGCTATATAATCATTATAGTACGAATAGGTGTCCATAGTCATAATATGACTGTCTCATCGCGATTGATTTTGAAAATCAATTCAATTTTTTGCTGCTGGCAAAGCAACGAATGGGTGAACATGATCGATTTTCAATGGACATTGACAATTCATTTTTTAAACGACTAATTACAATAAACACATTTGCTGGCGGATATTCCTCTTCGAAGTTAATTATTTAAACTTCGGAAGAATTACCATAAACGTAATTTTGAGAGGATTGGGATACTGAAGTGGCCGGTACGCATCATATCTATAAAAGAATACCTATATAATTCTTCTATCCATGTGTATATGTGACTGAAATCCTAAATGGCTGGACCTATTTTGATGAAATTTTATGTGTGTGTTTAAGAAGATTCGAAAATGGTAGATTAAGGGTGTGTAATAATTGAATAAGGATGACAAACGCACAGGCACATAGTCCACCTGATGGTAAGTGGATGCTGTGGCGCATTCACATCTACATCTATCCTCTATATTAAGAAACAAAATTCAGATGCGTTGTCACGTCTGTGGACTAAGTTGGAATGCCTTACTTCCAGTTACGTGGTAGAGCGGTAGAGTGGTAGAGCCATGATGTAGCTAAATTAATTGTATAGTTGTAACACGAATGGGTCGACTCGACTGGGGAAGGACCACGCTCTCACAGAATACCAGCGTCAAATAGCAGCTTAATGCTGCTGTGTTTCGTATGGTGAGTGTAGAGAACCGGAGACCCTTTTTACTGGAAAAGAGGCATTCCGTCTTAGTCCTCAAGGCTGACAACGCATCTTCATTTTGATTCGCAAACGAGGATAGATTTAGATGTCTATGGGCCACAGCAACCATTTACCATCAGGTGGACTGTGTGCTCGCTTGTCACACTTTTCCTATAAAAAAAAAAGTTAAAAAGGTCTCCGGTTCTCTACACTCACCATAAGAAACACAATATAATTAAGCAGCTATTTTACTCTTGTATTCTGTGAGAGTGGAGAGGGAAGGACCATCCTTCCCTGGTCGAGCTGGCTCATTCGTGCTATAGCTATAGTATAGATGCAGCGTTGCTCAAGCACGTATGGTGACGAATTATCACTAACACCGTCCGTAAAACGACAAATAATTAATACAAAAAATATGTGAATTGCGTTTGTTTACAGAAAGACGACAAAGAAGATGATAAGCCAGAACGTAGACCGTTTAGTCGTGACGTTGACTTGCAAGTTAACCGCTTTGATGAAGCACAAAAGAAGTCGATCATCAAGAAGGCGCAAGACTTAAATTCGAGGTTTTCGCGCGGTGAAGCAAAGTATTTGTGATTGTAGTTCGCCTAAAAGTCTTGAGTTTACAATGTAAAATAAACTTCATGGCATATGTAATAAAGAAGTTAGTGTCAAATATATAATTATAGTTTTTATATTGTTTAAGTAAATATACTTGCCCAGTTTTTATACCTTTATGGTGTTATGGTATTAGGCTTTTATTATTGGTATATGATATTTAGATTTCATACAAAACAAATGACTTCTTTGGTAAGAAATGCGTTAAGCATCATTAAAGTTTGTTTTTATACAGAATGTGGTTTTATAAAAAAACTTTGTTTATGACCATGAAATTAAAAATCCGTCATTGATTTTGCCTGTGATCAAAATTATTGTTCATAGTTTTTTCGTCTGTATTTGTCGGTTGGATCCAGTTGGATCTATGATGGCCATAAGATAACAGGATTGGACAATATAATTGTTCTCATTTAATAATGTCAGTAACTAGAAATAGGCATGCAGATAAACTCGCGTCTTGTTCCTTGATGGTACAACAAATTCAATCGAAAACAATCCATATTCAAATAAGGTACATGCGAACGAACAAATTATACACATTTAATTTTAAAGGAAAGAACACGTATTGATAATTTTTATTCTAAAATAGAAATATCTTGTGAGTTGACCGTTGACCGTTTCAATCCAATTTTTAACGAATGTAAACAGATAAGTGTTTAGATAAGTATTATAAAGTAGGTATATCAAAAAAAAAATAAAAATATGTTGTGATTAACGTCATACAATCTGTAAGGAACAGAGTAGGTATAAAATATACATATATAAGTAAAATACCACTGGCTGACTGACTCATCACGAGATCTCTAAAACTATACACCCGATTGGCTTGTAATTTAGTATAGTTACTCAATGATTTCTTATATTTACGCGAACACTACACGTTGATTAAAACTACTTTTACGGAGGCAAACAAAAAGGTCAATTAGAACCCGCGTAAAAGAACATATAACTGATGTGAAGCATCAACGTTCCGGTAAGTCTGCAGTCTGTTGTGATCATATCTTCGACGGCCCCAACCATTACATCAGATGTGATAGACCAAAAATCCTCGCGAAAGAACACCGATTCCTACCAAGGATGATCGTGAGGCTATTGAAATTAAAAAAACATCCTAATTTCAATAGAGAAGGAGAAAAAGGAGTACTACTACCTGCTTGGGACCCTATAATCAATAAAATCAAACCCAAGCATACCACTGCAAGACTTCAAAACACAGTCAGTACATTTTGCATAGATCGGACTATAAACAATAGTTAAAAAAAGCTGAAGGTACTCCGGGTTTAACAATGACATCGGGACATCAGTCATCTCAGTCCCCCGTGACTATGGGTGCTGGAAAGCACCCGAAATGTCGGGAATTAAAAATAATTACAAATTAAATGCGATAAAATCCGTAAAAGTAGTTTTAATCAATAGTTACTCATTTCGCAATGTAGACGCTCACTAAGAACGGATTTTACGATAGTCCCATCAAAATAAAAATTTGCTGAAAATCTGATAGGAATAGACAAGAGTCATAATTTATTCTTGCTTTATGTTCATATTCCACAGGTTGGTACACCACTGAATATAGTAAAATGTATGCAAATTTTAAATTAACGGCTCGATGGCACAGTGGCTAAGCGTTTGGCTACGAGCTGCGGATTGCTGCCGCGTGTTCGAATCCCGCTCGTAATAAGTATTTGTATGGTCTACAAGTAAAATTACTCTGTTTCCAGATGTCCATGTGCAATTTATATATTATGTAAAACTACTCCCATTCGAAATTTCATGATCTTAGTGACGGGGTAACATTTTTAAACATTAAAACGAATCCTTTGCCTTTTTCAAAGTATATAATATATAAGGACGAAATGAAATATACGTGTTTATAAATTCATTATCTTTTTATTCATACACAAAAATATATTAAAAATAAATCCTTTCTAATGTCATAGTAGTACGTAAATAAGTATTCCTGATTTTCGTCGCAACAGGACGCGACATTTCATTTCTCACATAACAGTTTTAGCATCCACGACAACAGTGGAGGTTTCTTTCTGTGTAGAAGCGCAAGGCTTGACTTTAGTGTTGTCGCAGCAAAGCGGTTCATCCGCTGTCATGTTTGCGTATATCCACGGATTGTCGCACACTTTGAAAAACGCTGATAACTGGAAAGAAATAGATCATTACGTAAATTGTAAAAAAATATCGATTTAACACTGAAAGTAGTCTAAAACAAGAAGAAGCGTAATATGTGGATATTTTATTTCTTCTATTTCTTTAACTGCTATATATACTGCTGCCATCGTCAACACATTAATGTTTAAGCAGCTTACAGCTTGAAGAGAGGTTTAGAATTGATTTGCCCATACTCTATGCCAGGCTGATAAAGGTGCCTAACACTTTTAATTTCGGCTGTACCTATGGAATATATAAATTAGTTACGTAATACAAATAGATATTCTATGATATACTAGGGTATGCGTGAAGCTGTGGCCCAGTTACTGTGTGTTTTTTATCTACTATCATAGTAACGATTTTTTATATATAATAATACTACAAATTAAATGAAACTAATTTTACGCTCGAGTGCTGTAAATCGAAAAACGTCGGGAGTTTAAAAAAAATTATGCGAGCAAACCAGGTTCGAACCTGAAAAAAATTGTTAATTGCAATTTTAGTGCTGATTTACTACGTGTTCGGCGTTGAAGGAAAACATCGTAAGGAAATCTGCATCTCTGAAAAATAAAAAAATATTTCGAAGATTGTTACTCTGATCGATAACTGCTAACACGCATTGGGCAGCGAGGCGCGGCGGACACTTCCTTGCCCTACAACCCTCTATAAATGGGTATACAATGTTAAATTGTTTACGTGTTGAATTTCGTCATATTCCTGTTAAAAATTGTCAAACTAACCTTTTATGCATGCACATAAATATAAGGTACTTGATTAAAAATTTTTATGCTTGAGAACAAAGTGTGTACTCATCTAATGCATGTATAGATATTATATTGGTAACAGAAGTTAATATACATACCTGACTCCCTAAGCGATATGTATTACCTGACTATCAAATGGACACAGTGCTGCGTAAAAACCGAGGGGTTGTGGTATTATAGCATATACATAATGAACACAAAAAAAAATATATTTACAACCAATTTAGTAACGAAACAATTTAGAACATATTAACAAAGCATTTTGAAAATATATTATTTCAAAGTGTTGTATTTGTCGTTGGTAGTAATATTATTTCCATTTTAAAATTATTTTTAATAATCTTCAAATTGTTTTATATTTTTTTTAATTGTGCACAAAAAGATCCTATTCGTTTTTCTCTTAAAGTTTTAACGCAAAATTGATTTTTATCTTTTTTTTACTTCAACATCATTTACCTACTATCTACAAAACTTTGTGTTAAAGGATAACGTCATAAGACCTTTATAACGCAAAATTATTAGTGTTCAGTTTTTATTTTAAACATTTTTTTAAATTAAGGTGACAAACGAGCACACAGCCCGCCTAAAGTTGAGTGGATGCTGTGGCCCGTAGAAATCTACTTCTATCCTGGATTAAGAATAAAAATGCAGATGCGTTATCAATCCTAAGGAATACGATGGAATGCCTCGCTTTCAGTAAAAAGGGTTCTCCGGTTCTCTACACTCATCGTAAGAAACACAGCAGAATTGAGCTGCTATTTTACGCTCGTATTTTGTGAGACCGTAGTCCTTCTCCGGTTGAGCGGAACCATTCGTCCTACAACCATAATATAGTCGCAACATGACTACTACCTAAAAATTTCACATAGCGCACATAGTTTTCAAGAAGAAGAAAGAAGACAAACAGAGTTTAAAGTTGTTTTCGATGATCGAACTACTTGCTCAAATATTATATTTATTTGTTGAATTACTACGCGCACGAAGATGTAGATAAAAGCTGGTTAAATAATAAAAACGCCAGATTTTTTATTATAATAGGGTAATTAAATACCTAGAAAATGTATCCATTACATAAATACCTTCAGTTCATTAGCGTCTTTGAGTCTATTACAGAGTATCTCCGGCCCTTTGGCCTTCGTGACGTTGGCTAGTGCGATGCATAAGCTCTTGCAAGCTGCCTCTCCCTCCTCGTTACACTTTACTATTAATCCGGGTGCTTGGGACAACAGTGGCTCGTTACCCGACGTTATCTTATCCGTAGAGAAACCGCCGCAAGTGCAGTTCCCTTTTTCGTCGAGGTTTGTTACGCTAAATTAATACAAGTAAAGATTAAATTGTAGATTAAGGTAATATGCATCAAAATTGATAAAAACAACATCTATTTTTCTTTCTTGAAAAAGTGGCGGCATAAGGTAATCATCACCACTCCCCATTTCGTCACGTGGATGTCGTAAGTGACGGCCATGAGAAATATCAATAAGATCTGAAGGCTTCCGATACATGGCTGTGTGACCGTCTCGTAGGTAAATACCCACGAGCCCGCGACGGGGAGCAGTGTCTTACGTAAAACATTTGTAATACTACTACCGACTATCTTACTGTTCAACGTGGTGTATACAATAAAAATTAAAGAAGGTCCATTTTCAGTAGTGTTGCAGTTGTTCATGGGCGGCGGTAACCACTTACCATCAGGTGAGCCGTATGCTCGTTTGCCCTCTCTCCTATAAAAAAAAAGAAATAAAAAAAGACATGAAATAATCTGACCGGCGACTCAGTTCGCATGCCAAGTATGACGGCAAATATGGGAGAGGTCCAAAGCCATATTAAGCCTTAATTATAACAAACTTAAAAATGATTACCTTTTCGTTGCTCCATCACCAAGAACTGCATTTATTGACAAAAGCAAAGCTATTAAAATTTGACTATAAAGAATAATTGTAGTCATTTTACTTTTGTGGTATTCCACTGAGTGCAGCGGTTGAACAATAGGGCAAATTGCAAACAGTGGTAAATTTATATACGGAACAAAGTGTGGGGTAACCATGTTACAAAATA